TTATATTTTTTGCAGCAGAATTACTCGTGTTATTCGCTACAAAAAAAAAAGTTTTACATTGTACTTGAGGAAAAATAAGGACGGCAGCACATAAAACGGTATACAGCTTGTACTACTGGGAGAGGGGCAACTCGAGTGTTAAGCGCCAGTTGCGCATACTTTGTCGTCCTCAAAAAGAATAGATACGTTGGCCGACATTGGTTTATTAGCCCTGCACTTGCAAACTAGCTTACAACACGGATGTGGGCTACGAGAAAACTAAGCAAAAAACTGCTTCAATACTTTTCAACGACCCAGAAATATTGCTTTTCTTATTATCTTTTATCGCTTTAGTGAAGCGCACAGAGCTCCCGGACATCGGCATAAACCACCGTATTAACAAACTTTGAACCGCGCGGCTAACGCGGAGAGCAGCGGTGTTCTTAATTATGCCACACCACGCCCCGCCCCGACCTGCTCGTAAAGAGAATGAGCAGCAGGAATGCCATTAGGTCACAACAACGACACACTCCTGCTACCGCTGCCTGCTACCGTCCTCAGTCCTCCCGCCTGCAACACGCCGGCCGGCAGGACAGGACGCCGCGGCCGGCCGGGGCGGTCGCCACGGGAATGTGGACATAGCGCAGGCAACTGATTAGCTGTGCACACCGATACAGAAAAAAAGAGTGTGTGTCCGATTTCCGTGATCAGTATGTGCTACATATTATAATTTTCGTCCTGGAAACTACTATTGCCCACTGCCCCTTCAAATACGAGTATGCCCAAGGGGGAAAACGATCATTTTTGTAATAAATTGAAATCCGGCAGCACTAGTCTGGGCGCGACCTTGCCCAGGCGAGGCGCCCTGCACGCACAGTGCGGCCGAAGCAGCGCGCGGGGTCCCTTATGCCGGAACAAGACCAAGAGAGAGAGAAAGGGGGGGCGACTATCGCACGCAACGGTTGTTGCAAAACTACAGTATTACTATGGCGCTGCTGTTTCAACAAATAATTATTATAACGGTCAGTGATTTCCTTCAAAAAGGGAAGGAATTATTTTTCCCGCGCCATCCATTCGCTTTCTATATCAGGCGGAGGGTGGAGGAAAGGAAGAATGTATGAGAGCCGATAGGAGGGAGGACTAGCATGGCATTAGTCAGCTGGCGGGAGCAGACTCCAAAGGGAGAGATGACGTAGAGATGGTCCCTGAATGAGATCAAGATCACCCTCCTCTGCACTGTCGTCGAGAGGGGAGATGGCGTTTCCCGATCTCCAGACGCGCTGCGTTGACGCCGCGTGGCGTGAAGGAGATGCTCAGCGATACTGTTGGGACACGCGGAACGCTTTCCGCCCTGTTGACACTTTCAGCAGGGTTGGGAGGCCCCCCTTTGCTATGCGGGCACCGTCCTCGCGCCCCTCCCCCTCAGGCCACTGCGTCCTCACCCCACCACCAACACAAGCCACCAATGGCGGCTGCCACAGACGGACGCTGCCAAATTGCACCTGCAGCCTGCAGCTCCGCTAGCGGACTTCCCTAATGAAGACAGCGTGCTGGGGAGGGGCGAACGGAGCGCGGTGTGTCCCCGTCGGCTGATCAACTGGACCCCGTCCGAGCCGCGGGTGGGTGCCTCCCTCGCAGGGAGGTCCCCAAGGGTGTCCACACCGCCGCCGTCATATCTGTCATCTCACTCACTTTTCAGTCATCACCGGCCGTGCCTGCCGGCGCCCCCACTACTGCCCCGCCCGGCACCAGGGGAAGGGGGACGGGCCTCAGTCATGATTGTTGTCGCAACAAGGTCCCGTCCCGGGCCGGGCGGCTTCACAACTCGGCACATTGAGGTGCAACGGGTGCTGCCGGCCCAACCCCGTCCACAGGAGTGTAGTGTGATAAAATATCTATTTAAGTACCTAAACAAGTGGTGTTTTAAGCTACCCTTTTTTTCTTCGCGGTAGGTAATAGTGGGAAAGTTAAGCGGTCCCTACCGTGCAAATGGTTCCTGAGAGTTGAAACTTGGTGAAGTGGTACTTTCCACCACATGGGACGTTTTAGGGTATTAGGTACAGGTAATTTTAACTAAATTCCTAGGTGAGGTGCGGTACCGGAATTATCTGGGCGGCGGGCTTCGGGCTAGCCTACCTCGAAAAAAGCCACAGCTGCTTTGACTAAAGCCACTCAAAATAAATGATTGGCCGAAATTCAAGAACCATGGGTTACACGCGACTTAAAAGGATACGTATACTACATCCATGCGTTTCGTTAGAAGAGGTCGTGCATATTCGTGAACAGTGAACGCTTGACGCACGAAGGTCACCGACCGCGACATCAGCATCCCCAGGACACACCTTGAGATGAAGTCTCTCTCTCACTCTTACAAGCTTTTGTGCTGACTCGGCGCTTCCATGCAGCAAGCGCAGGCCCCGTCGCGCCGCCGCCGGCAGCCAGGTTGGCGCCCATGGCTCTCCATGTCGCAAAGCTGCGTGCTCCGGCCGGAGAAGAGGGCCGGATAAGAAGAGTGGGGGGAAAGGAGCGAAGGAGAGGAAGGGAGGACCTCCAAATTGGCTGCAAAAGCTCATGACATGACAACATTACTCTCTCGAGGCGCGAGAGCCATTCAGAGCCACTTCACGCGTCTACCAAGATTCTGTCCTCTCTCCGTCACTCCCCCCTTCCTCTCCCCCTCTCTCTATTAGCACCACCCCGAATATCGCGTTCGCCAGAGGCCTCCCCGCCCGCCCAGCACGCGCCCCGCCACATGCAAGCGGAAAAGGGAGCAGTCGTTACCGACCATTTGGACGCAATGAGGTGGTACTTGGTGGTGCTCATTGCGCTCGGGCCAGGGCGGCCACGCGCACGCGCCGGCCGAGCCGGGCCGAGCCGATCAGATACAAGATCCCCACGCGCGCGGCTGAATGTAGCGTATTATCGCAACGTGACCGCCGCGGCGCCGCGCGCGCCAGATAAGACGGCGGCGGCGGCGCTTGCAATGACTGCCGCCAGCCAGTGAAGCCGGAAAGTCAGTCTCTGGAGGCAACAACTGCTGTCAAAAATCTGCCACGGCGAGGGGGAGAGGGGGGCCTCCACGGGGGCCTCGGGCGGAGCTCCTGGTGGTGGCGGTGCACTGCCTGCTGCTGCTGCTGCTGCTGCTGGCTGTTAGCATTGTGGGGAACACAATGGGCCCTCGAACACACCGTGTCGCGCCAGGAGGAGGCGGAGGAGTGGGAGATCCAGGTCATACACCCTTTAGGAGGACCCGTAGGGCACGAGGATGCGGCAGCCAGCCAGCCCCTCGGGGTGCGGTCACGTTGGTCTCCCTGATGGTTCTCCGCGCAGCCTACAGCAGAGCGTGTGTTTCTGCCTTTCACCCGGCCGTCGATAACGCCCTGATTGATGGCTATTTCTTAACCATACCCACGCCGTGCGGGCGAAAAAACCGTCCTAGAGCCCGCTTCCCTTGGCCTTGGCACCACCGCCACCCTGGGCGTGTGGTCGCAGTGCTCTGCCGCGTCCGGTCCCGCCGCGCATAGCACAGCCAAGTCAGCTGGACAGACAGACGAAGGCAGGCGCACCCTCGCCGGTTCCCAGCGCACCGCTAAAGCCGGCCCCACCGCGGCCTGCACGGAGACTTAAACGCGGGGCACGGGCAAAGAAAACTGCGTCGCAGCTGCGGAAAAGCTCCTTTCAATGTATTATTAAACCCTAAAAAAAAAATAACCACGCAGATTTTTTTTCCTCTCCTTTCTGAATCGTTTCCATCATTGAGAGCAGCCGCTAGCATGCTCCAGTAGCAGCAGCAGCAGCAGGCGCCTGGCCAACTTCATCATAGCGATGCCGGCCGCATATCCCCGTTCTGGGAAGTACAGGCTCGCCTAGCACGTGGAGTCCTCGATGTGGGTCAAGTGACAAGAAGGCGCCGGCCCGCCCACACCACGTTAAGTTTAAAAGCGTATAGCCCCATAACATGACACTTAACACATATCCTTTTTCAGACAATTTTTTAAATTTGATTGAAAGGGCTTTCTTCACAATTCTTCAGCACGAGAGTTCAAACTAGCTTACACGCCATTTTAAATATTTTTACTGTGGGTGGTAGAACATTGTCGAATTTATCATCTGCTTAAAATTTTTCAGCGTTTGATTCCGTAGGAAAGGAAAGTGAGAGTCAAAGCAAAGGAACGGCTTTAAACGCATTGCAAAAAACAAGGCGCAGTATTTTGAAAGAATTTTTTGGCGAGGTTTGCGGCATCTTCCCGCCGGCAGGCCGGGCCTGGCAGGCGGCCGGCGCGCTCTTGGACCCGGTAATGAGGTAGCAGCGCGGAAAGCCGCCGTTGCACGGTGCTTTTAGGAATTTTTAGCAATTACTTTTACCAGGCGATCACTAGTCTTCTTTTTAAACCACAATGAATACAACAAGGAGTGTAGAGGAGAGAAGACGTAGGATTCTTTGGGATCGTCCAGAAAGTACGTCCATTTTCCTCAGATGCATTTGCCTAATTACGGGAGCTGGGCGCCTGCAAGACTCAGGGTAGGCCACCCCGCAGTACACGCATACACTGCAGACCAGATGTTGCCTTCCTAACAGGCGCTATGAGTTCTAGCAGAGACTGAACTTGGCAGGTCCGGAACGGCGAATGGCGGACGTACTTTCTGGATGATCCCTTTGCTGTAAATGGGGTTATCATATTGGTCCAATGTGGAACATCGGGGTCGCACTAGTCTATCAGATTACTCGGGCCCTTAATAGTGATCATCCCCATCTACGCACAGCCTAACTCGCACGGTGGTTGCAGTGCTGTGCCCTGCCAGCTAAGAGGAACCGGGACTGCGGGCGGGGGCGGAGGAGGTTAAGGTGGTCATGGTGGCGGTGGCTTGTTTTGGCGGTGTGAATTGGCGGAGAGTGGCGGGGCGGGGGGCGGGGTGGGGCGCGGTCTCCGGGGGGCGCTCGGTCGGCCGCCAGGGGGGGCAGCGGGGCCCGCGCGGAGCCCTCTAGGGGGGAGGCGTATAAGAGCACAGGCGGCCGTCGGGGGGCCATCAGTCGGCTCCTCTGGGCTGCTGGGATCACACGCGCTCACAGAAATGAACACTAAGGTGAGTCGCCTCAAAAAAAGGATTACACATCGCCAGAGGATTTCTACTTCTTTCGGTCTTTTTTTTAAAAGTGTGCAGTGGGGTTCAGTGAATTGTGATGATCGTGACGTGAGACGTGAGTGAATATTTTGTGCTGTGGTCAGTGGCTGTGTTATAGAGTGACGAAGTACGCAAAAACTCTTTCGAATTCGTTCTGAAATTTTACCTGTTTATTTTTCGTGCAAGTGCTAATTTATTTGACTTTTGCTGGTTTGTTTTGGAAGTTATAAATAATTTGATGCAGTGGAAATGCAAGTGTGTGAATGTCGCTCACCTGCAGGTGAGCGACATTCACACACTTGCATTTCCAGTGTGGACTCAGCAGCTCCTTATAATAAGTCAAAACGCCATTTGTTTGTTGTTTAATAGTTTTGCACTAGCTCTAAACTTCCCATTGACGCTTACTTTCATTTGAAATGACAAGTGTTGATAACAAGAGCAGTCCATATGCGCCCCCACCCTGTATATGGACTTCCTGGAGCACCCCACCCCGCCCGCCTGCCTCCTCGCCCCGCCGAGACTCTAGTACCTTGTGCCCCTTGTGGTCCAGCCGGCAGGTGTAGTTACCGCTCGGGGTTGATCATAATAAACTGGGACGTCGTAACGAACTAACAAAACCGCGGTGGTCGGCCAGCGCTGGTCAGGCAGGCGTGTGTTCCACATTGGTAGCCTAACCTGGACAATTACATTGTCAAAGTATAAAAGTCAGGATCATTTGTATCTTTTCAAAAGACACGTGATATTAAACTAACGACTCCTTTCTTTATCCACGAGCTATTTTGGGGCCAGACATGCGTTTTTATAAAACGAGCAACGTTTTACGAGGCTTGGCACATAAGAATGAGAGGAGGATGACAGTACCGCGTGTGTTCACTCCGGGCGCTGCATCTCGAACAGACAAGCGTGGCGTGGCATGCGTCGCGTCATGGGTCGTGATTATGCTAAAGTCGGCCAGCCAGGTTGTCGCCAAGAGGAAGTCAACCTCTCACTGCTGCGGGTGCACAGAAACATTTCCGGAGGTATAGCATCAAACATTTTTTTTTTCTGTTCGGGTATTCGCGTGAACGTAATGTCGGCTCGCAAAAATTTCGATGCCTCGACTAGTTTTTGCCACCGCTTTTTTGGAGGGGCTTGGGTGTGAGGGTAATGGCGTTACTTTGCAGGGTAGGCATTCCCTGGCGGGCGCACACGGGGAAGCGGAGCGCACTACATGGCGAGGAGGAAGGCGCGCGCCTCGACACGCCACGCCCCCGTGGTTCCTGTTGAGTCCATCCCGGAATGTGCGGGACGGAGAGAGAGAAAAAAGAGAGGGGAGGGGGCAGCGGCAGAGATCAAGTGTTGCTTCCGTGATATCCTTAACGTTCCGTTCCGCTCATTTATGTCATAGTCTCGGTCATAGTGTGATAAAACTTACGAAATAACTTTTAAAAAATAAAACAAAAAAACCCAACGAACAACGGATTTGCCGATGTTGCTTCAAACTCAGAGTACTTTTTTATCTATAATCGATATATTCGATATTCGATTCCCATTAGTGATTTTTTTCTGATTTTCTTATTTGCTTGCATTTATGGAAGAACGATAGATGGGCACAAATTCAAGAGAGAGAGAGGGGGGGGGGGGAGTGCGGAGAAGTGCAGAGGCACATCGTGACAGACCAGTAGCCGCGCACGCGTAGAACTGCCTGCGCAGCGGACGCTCCTTAATGGGAGAGAGGGAGAGATAAAGAGCCGCAGAGACAGAGAGAGATAGAGAGGGTGAGAGTGAAGGAGAGAGGGGGTCATCGGGCGACTGGCCAAGCACAGCTTAGATACCAGGCTCAAAGGCAGCCGGCACCCTGACCTGTCTTCCTCATGGCGGCTTAGAATGGTCACTGCTGCACCTCTACCACTCTCTCCCCCTTCTCTCTCTCTCTCTCTCTCTCTCTCTCTCTCTCTCTCTCTTGGGAGATGACCGGGCGGAAGTGTGCACATGGGCGTCACGCTCCCGGGAGAGGAGCACTCGAACGGAAACGAAAACGTCATGGGGAGGAGCCGCAGAAGTAGGGGGTAATTACCGAGCGCAGCGCGGCACACGCAGGGGGCCGTGGCGGGATCATCATCCCAATGATTTAGAAAACAAAACAACGCCAGACCTCGCGAAAATATTTAAGGCGCGTCAGTGTTGTACACGAATTAGAATGTCCTGGACCACAAGTTCGAGCACTTTCCTGTTGATCTCAATCATGGACAGTGTTTGAAACTTCTAGTTCGACCTGATCGACTAAAGCATTGGGACAGGGAAAACCATGTTATTTTTCCTCTACTCAATAACAAGACAATGCCTAACTTCTCGCATGAGCACAATTTATCCACGAATCTTCGGCAGTGCACACGCGGCACGTGCCCGACCGGAAGAGTGGCGCGAGCAGGCGCGCACCGCACCGCGATAACAGCAGAGAGAGAGCTGCAGATTAGCCAGGGTTGTACATGAATTTTCTTATGCACGTGACTCATGTATGACTTTCTGTTGGAAAACAAAACCTAAAAACTTGAGCTGTGTTTTTTTGATGTCGGCCAACCCTTTGTAATTAATTGAATTTTTCAAAACAAAATACCGTGCAAAAAAAAAAGAAAATTAACAGGGTAGCAAAGAGCTGGAGCAGTCGGACGGATCGCAAGCAGCACGCCGCGGAGCTGCTGTTGTTACTTCTGCTCCTGCTTTCCTTCCCGGTCTTAAACGTAATTCGCTCACCGCGGGTGGACAGCACGAGGAGGTGCAGCAGCAGCCGCGGCAGCAGCAGCTGCTGCGATACGGATCCATCTGCATCGTGCTGCCTCCCGGCAGCATCCTTCCTGCTGGACCCGAGCGGCGCGTGCGAGATGAGAGAGATGGACCGACCGGACCCGCAGCGTCCAGCAGGGCAGGCAGGGGGGAGCAGGCGCCAACGAGCAGAGCAACCGCGGCGGCGCCCAGCAAAGTTACCTCAGTTGCTTTACCGCTTGTAACGACGCGACGGCGACACACATCGCCGTGGCGTAATGACGCGACGCCGTAACCGTAACGAGGTGTGACGCCGTAACCGTAACGAGGAGTAACGCCGAGTAACGCCAAACCGTCGCATCCGCCCGCCTCGTCTATCTGTCCGACCGGTCCGACACGCAGCAGTCCCCTCTTGTGTGCAGCGGTCCGAATGCAGTGTGTGTGTGTGTGCATCGCGCAGGACTGATTGTTATGCACTTTTTCCCTCCCCACCCTTCACCGCCGTCGTCGTCTTTCTCTTTGGTCTCGCTTGTGAGCTGCTGCTGCTGCTGCTGCTGCTGCTGCAGGGAGGAAGGGTGGCACAACAAGGCGCGTTATTGCAAGTACGGCACGGCGGCACGTGTGCGCTCTCCTTAGCCAAACACCCGGGGCAGGATACGTGCGTGCGGCGAGGACCCACATCCTCTGACCACAGAATTGGGCAGGGCCTGCCCCCCGCCCCACCCAAACCTCTCGCTGCCCGTACCCCATGACTCGCACGCGACTGGGGGATTGGGCGCCTGATTACAGTACACAGTTGTTGTGGCAACTGAAGGCGGGCGCAAACCATATCAAGAGCAGCGTACATAGAAAATTTACAAGCCCTCGCTCACGACGGCTTGCTAAATATAGGTACCCGCACCCTTTTCTTTCAACAGCGTAGACTGGCTGCGAGAGAGAAACAGATAGGTGGAGAGAGTGAGAAAAAGATATGTACGGATAGATCCTGGTCTGGTGTCCGGCAGGCTGGTCCGCGGACCGGCAGTGGTGGTGGTGACGGGCGAGCAAGGCATCCCGGCAGCCGGACGTGTGTAGTCGATGTGTGTAACCGAATCGCGTAGCGCCGCGCTGCCGTTCAGAACCAGTTCAGTTACCCCTGCTCTCTGCATCCATTGCGTAAAAGTATCGCGGCAGCGCGAGCGCCTGCCTACCCACCGATATCTCGATATCAAAGAAGGAAATCGCCGCCCCAGTCCCCAAAAGAATAAAACGGGTTGGCTTCACTGCCATACAGGGAGGGATGAGAGGAGCAGGGAAGGGGAGGGTGCCCGTCAAGGAAACGCTGCGGCGAAGGCGGCCCCCACGGTCTTCAAGGCCGGTAGCATGCTCTCTGAGTGCACCCTGATGGTGTGTCTTCCTCGTCGTCAGTGGGGCACTACAGGACGGACGCAGGGACGGCAGGGCAGGGCCACCCCGGCCGGGGGCTGACACCAGGCTGACGCAACTCCCTGCCACTCCGCGGGGCGCAGACACTGTGTCGCACGCACACGTCCCGGTGCGTGGAAGGGACTTCCAGGACGGCAATCGTGTGTGAGTGTGTGTGGCAGGAGGGAGGGAGGGAGGGAGGAGTGGGAGGACCCGCTTCCGCTGCTGGACCGCCTCCCCATCGTTGCTCCAGCTCCAGGCGCGGCTCCAGTCCTGCTGAGGGAGGGAGGGAGGGGGTCATTGTGTCACCACCGTCATCACCGCTTCTCTCCACAGTTTATGTCCGGGCCGTCCAAACGATACCTGTTACACGGTGGGTTCTTCCCTCTCCGGATGCCCCCCCCCCTGTCTGCTTACCTCCGATGCTGATCCCAATCCCCCACATGGCTGATTGACCGCTGGGCCGGCCGGTCGTTACGTTGCCTTGCTGGCGCCGCGAGTTTACCGGCCGATCCGGTCAGTTGATTGTCACCCCGTTCTAGATCCTCCTGCCCCAGTCAGCTCGATTGTAACCCAGTTTCCAGGGATCCGCCAGCCTGCCACACACCTCTCTGCGGGGGGCGTTGACCCTAACTTGGCACACATTCTCACCCGATCGTTTGTCTTGTTGCAGGTACTGATTGTGGTGCTGGGGCTGGTGGCCCTGGCCCTGGCCGGCGAGGACGCCAAGCCCGCCGCCGAGACCAAGGAGGCGGCGGTCGAGGCCAAGGAGGCTGAGCCAGAGGCGGCCGCGTCCGGGGACAAGAAGCAGGACAAGCGCGGTCTCTTCGAGTCTTTCGGCTACGGCTACAGCGGCGGCTACGGCGGCGGCTACGGCGCCAGCTACGGCGGCGGCAGCCACGGCTACAACGTGGGTGGACCCGGCCTGGGTAGCTACGCTGAGGAGCGCGGGCTCGACTTGGGGCACAGCGCCAGCGGCGGCGGTGACTACGGGTACGGCGGCAGCAGCAGCGGCGGCGGCGGGGACTACGGTGGCCACGAGGAACACCAGGAGGAGCACCACGAGCACCACCCGGAGCCGCACGTCGAGGAGCACGAGCACCACGAAAAGGTCGTCACCAAGGTCATCACCAAGAAGGTGCCCTACCCCGTGCACCAGGTCAAGCACGTGCACGTGCCCGTCAAGGTCCACGTCGACAGGCCGTACCCCGTGCACGTACCCAAGCCTTACCCCGTGCACATCGAGAAGAAGGTGCCCTACCCCGTGAAGGTGCACGTGCCCCAGCCCTACCCCGTGCACCACGAGAAGAAGATCCCCTACCCCGTCAAGGTGCCCTATGACGTGCCCCGTGCCATCCACGTCCCCAAGCCCTACCCCGTCTACGTCACCAAGCACATTCCCGTGCCCGTCGAGAAGATTGTCCACTACCCCGTCAAGGTGCCCGTCGAAGTTCCCAGGCCGTACCACGTCAAGGTGGAGAAGATCGTCCCCTACCCGGTCGAGAAGAAGATCCCCTACCCCGTCAAGGTGCACGTAGACAGGCCAGTGCCCATCCACGTCGACAAGCCCGTGCCCTACCACGTCGAGAAGACCGTCCCCTACCCGGTCGAGAAGGTGGTCCACTACCCAGTCAAGGTGCACGTCAAGGTGCCCGTGCCACAGCCCTACCCCGTCAAGGTGATAAAGGAGGTGCGCGTGCCCGTGCACATCAAGCACGAGGAGCACCACGAGGAGCACCACGAGGAGCACCACGAGCCCGAGCACCACGAGCCCGAGCACCACGAGGAGAGCCACCACGAGGAGAGCCACGGCTGGGAATGAGCTGTCGCCGTAGCCTAGCCAATGACTTACAACCTGTGATACTTTCATGTCCATCGTCATCATGTCCATTCCCATCACCACAATCATGCCAAAAAGACCACAAAAAAATTAGAAAAATAAATATAAGTTGTTTGTTTTTACAAAAATGAAAACGCCAGTCTACTCCTTTTTTCGTCCCTGCCGACCAAAATACGCACAATTGCATGAAACATGTACACCCTCAAAGTTGAACCCTAAAAACAAAAAAGGTGAAAACGAATGGAAAAAACACGTTAATAATTAGAAGTGGCTCATCTGTGGGTGAGTTTAGTCCCGTTCTCACAATCGCACCCCGCCAGCTTCCTGCTTGAGATGCAGTCCGTTTCAAAAGTCGGTTATGCAATGACGCTTCTAGGACTGGCAGGTAGCTGCCGGACAACACAGCGCACCAGACTAGGGCCACTCAAATTGCCTTATTCGGGAAAGATTTCATAATGGGAGCAAAAGCAGAGCAAAAGCAGAGCGTTTGCACCCAAAACTGATGTAACGCTGTGCCGAAGAATCTTCTTCGCGGGCCTGCTTGGCAGCAAGGGTCAGGTTGGGCCAGGACCGTGGGAAATGCGAGAAGTACCAGAGAGATGCAGGTATGGCTGACAAGCTGACAGGAGCATCTCAGTCGCACCCAGGTTCGACCGATGCAGGCAGCAGTGATCCCGACCGATTCAGCCATCAAATATAGCTAATAAAAATTACGTTTGAGCCCGGACGCAAAGAAAAAAACGACGCGAGCGCATTCGATCGAGAAAGTTCGAGCTAGTGGGAAAAATGTAACTATACCGAGGTTCTTTTTGGTTACCCAAAAGAGACAAACCGACTTCATCCCCAACATAATTTCAAGCCACCCCATCATAGCGTCAGGTGCTGTATTTTCCTTTTCTTTCAAATGTGAAGCTCGTCCCCAATGAATATAGCAGTGCAGTGCGATGCACTTCGCGTGACGGTGTGGGTTTGGCAGGACAGGGAGAGCAGGTAGAGAGAGAGAGAGGATGAGGGGCGGCGTCAGTCCTTGCAGCACGTCCTAGACGCCCGCGGGGCACGCAGCACAACTAGCGCACCTACCGGGCGGGCTGCGGCCTCGCCCGGCGCAAGCAGGGCACAAAGTTGCACCGGGATAGAGAGGGAGAGAGCGAGCGGGAGGCAGAGAGCGACCGTTGCTCCAGCCACCTCCACATCTCGCCGCGTCGACCGCCTGGCCTCACGGAGTCCATTGCTTCACGCTCGCGGTCGCCACGCCGCGCCACGCGCCAAGCCACGACACGACGGCCACTCGCATGTCGATGAGCGACATGATCTGGTCCACCCGCGACGCCGACCGCCTAGGACGTCGCGGCGCCACTCGCGCCCTTGGAGACGACACCGATGCCCTCTCCCGCGAGCTCTCTCGTTGGTGTAGACACCCCTTCCCCCCCCCCACACACACACAAAGCAACAGATTCATTTAATCAAGAAATTTTGCCATTATTCCAAAGCATGGTAATTTTTGCCCTTATTCTAACCTTTTTTTAGGTTGGGGGGGGGGGAAGGCGTTTGGGGTTGACGGTTGACAACGTGGGTTCAATAGTTACTGTTTTCCTAACAAATTTTCTCTGTTTGGACTGTAAAGGTAAACATTTGGAAGTGTTTCAGTAAACGTTTCCTTCACTCCAGGTTTCTTGCTCTCTTTCGAGGATTTCATTTTCCGGGTGCCCCTTCTGCGGCGGGGACATCATCTGACCCTAATACCCCTGCGCCACGTTCACCATCTGCCCGAGCCGGGCCAGGCGATGACACCTCCGGCACCTCTGGTGGCGATGTGGATGAGGAGGGCGACGGCGGCGGCGCGGCGCGAAGCGCAGAGTGTCGCAACGCGATTTGGATCGTTGGGTGACGTGCTGGTGAGGGCCGGCCACATGCAAGCGCGGCGCGGCGCGGCGCGGCGGGGCGCGCCAGCAGTCCGGCCGGGCTAGGCCGGGCAGGCAGGCCAACCCACTGCGCTCATTAGAGCTTCCTTATTACCGCCGCACTTGCACTGCAAAAGCGCCGCAAGTGCCCCGCCGCGCGCGCAGTGGGGCGTGGCGGAGCGTGGCGAGCGTAGCGCGGTGGGGCGGGGCGGAGCTCCAAATGTAACGAGAGATACGCCAGGGGGACGCTCACTGTGGCTGCTTGTGTGGTATTTGGACGGGGCGGCGGGACGGAGCCGCGCCCATCATCCAGAGCGGCAGTAGCACTAGCGCCGCCACCACCAGCATCACCACCTGCTAGCAGCCGCTTGTTGCAGCCACCTGCAGCCGCTTTGCAGCCCATCTGCTCGCACCGCGGCTTGGCAGGGCGGACTCGTAAAATGCTGCACGAGGTGGAGCTTTCCCACGAGGGCGGGGTCTGGAGGTGATGCAGGAGGTCGTGACTGCAGCGGAGCAGGTGGCGCACTGTCTATTTTGAATCTCGCGCGCACATTCACTCGGCCCCAACGCCAAACGTCGTTTTGAGCTGCAATAATGACGCTCAGAGGCATACGAGCAGTAAGGTGCGCGGGGTGCGCCACCGCAGGGGCCGAGTGGGGAGGGGCAGAAAGCCATAGTCACTGTGGTGTGTTTGGAACGACTCCTAACGAAGGGGCTCCCAGTGCTGCAGCCGCTGTTGAGCATACTCACCACCTCCTCTAGTAGCAAGCAAAGGGCACTTACCTGAGAAAAGAAAAGAATTACACTGTTAAAATTAAGGCTACGGGAAGAAATTACAATTGTAATTTTAAAGGCTCTGTTATAGGTCGTTTCACGATATCTAGAGAAAGTCGGTAGCCAGCCATTCACACAAAGGACGACGAGACTTTGCGATAAACTGCATGCGTAATCTGATATTGTTTCCGTTTGCGCATATCAATCCATTCCGGAGAACGTGAGAATATGTGGTATAAGGTGCGGTCAGGTGCCGGGCACACGGAGCCCCTGCAGCAGCGTGCGATAGGCCACCCGCTCAAATAAGATGTACTGCAGGGCGACCACTTGCCTACCCAGCAGGCGCTACATTCTAAATGTGAAAGGAGAATTCTGTCCCTAAAAAGGGAACGTTATAGTGCGATTCACCTGAAGCTTTTATCAGAGCTGCTCCATTTCAGGAGATGTCATTGACAAACAGCCAGCCGGGACAGCACGCCGAGGGGTCGACCAGTTACATCTTCGGTAAACATTGAATATTGGGAATATTTGTCGAATATCTAGAATATTTTGGGAATATCTTGAATAGCCTACTTTTGGAATATTTGGAATATCTGTAATACTTTTGGAATGAGCTGTTATATTCTTGAAATGTCAGGAAATATTTTGGTGGAATATCTTAAATATATTTAAGAATATTTTTGGAATATTTTTAGTGTGTACATGGAATATCCAAGCGGTCCTCCCCGGCGCCTCTCATCAGTGAGTAGCATTAGCGTGGCGGGGCACGGCATGGTGGGGCAGGGCATGGTGGGGTGAGGCGGGGTGGGGCGCCAGGGGGCACGGAGGGGCGCAGGGCTCAAGGCCACTGCTGCGCGCAGGTCCAGGTCAGCGCGGCTTAAGGGCTGCTGTGGCCGCTGCGCCGACTTCGCTCCTCCGGATTGAGAAACGAGGCCAGGTAGGGCGTGGTGGGGCGTGGCGCCCAGGGAAGAGGGGGAAGGGGGCACTGCACCAGCTCGGAAAGCCACACCTCACGTGGAGCACATTTAAACTGCCGCACACCCCCACCCCTCCGAAAAAATAAAATCGACCACGATGACGTCGTTTGGTCCTGGTCACGTCCAGGGTCAGGACGCCGTCGCACCGGCGCACCGCTGACGGGATGCTGTCGCCGAGCCTGTCGCTCGGGCGGATGGCGTCACCTTGCCCTCCTCTCTACCTCACCCCGCCCTGCCCCGCCGCCTACCGGACGTTGCAGCCC